AAGTTCTGTTAATCTTACTGCATATTTGCATAAATGGATTAAAAAACCCCCAGCATTTGTAGAATGTGATCTGTTTGTGCTGTGCAGGATGTTAAGCTGATTGTATGCCAGATATCAAGGCACATTTTAGAGGATGCACATTGTGGAAAATTTCCCAAAAGGAAAACTGTGTCAGCCTCAAGATAAAATGAAGACTACTTCTCCCTTCCCTCTTCTTTTTTAGTATTTTTTGGAAGATCACTTTGTTAGAAGTTTTTGTTTCTAAAGTGAGAGTTGTCCATGCTGTATTACTTTCATTAATCTAATAGATAATAAAAATCATGCCTTACTATCCTAGGAGTTTTTGAGACCATCCTCCGATATGGACCTGGTACTCTCTGTGATTAATTATTATATATCAAACAAAGCCCTATTCAGTTGTTCGTTAGGCATGTTCGTTGAATAAGTGTTAACCAAAACCAAATAGAATTTCTAGAAAAAAATTATTGTCAGACTTCCATTTCTTTATTGTGTCAGCATCAGAGTTGCATAGCTTTACTGGTTACTTATAGTCTTCTAGTGGAAGTTGTGCAGATAACATCACCCTTCCTTCTCTGATCAGTTTCTTTTTACACTAACCACTTACCTTGTTTGTGTAATGGGAAATTCAGGCTGTTTTATTCTAAAAATGCAGATTTATTTGCTTTTTGTAGGCAGTCAAATAGACTTGGGTCTGGAAGATGAAGTAGGCTATTTCTTGAAATCTTTCCTAGCTATTTTCCTGTAAGTCAGTGCCCAAGCTATTAAGCAGTCAGTTGCAAATTAATTTAAGTAAGCACTGCTGACCTTGTATTTTTACCTGCTTACTCTGAAATTATGTTCATTTTAGGTTGTTAGTCTTTATTAAATGGTATGAGAATGGTGGTTGTGTGGCAGAAAGTTTCTGTTCTCTGTCCTCTGTAGGGTAGATGCCCGAAAGATTTCTGCAGCCAGCTCGCAGTGCCCATTAAGAACCAGTTCCTCTGATTCTCATGGGACTCAGTAGAAAAAAAAAAAAAACCAAACACGCCAGCCGTTGTGCACGGTAACAGATTGAAGACTTCTACTGGAAAATTCTGTATTTGGACAGACTTAGAAAATGTCTTATCAGTTGTTGTTCAGAGAAGATTTTGAGGAGCTGTAAAAGGATGCCTCTCTATAAATTCAGAAGAAATGTTTTGCCTGTCAGAACCAATTAGCTTGAAAAACGTTATCTGGCATCTAAATGAAATTACAGATGTATAAAACTCTTTCCTCAGAAACTGGAGTGTTTTTGTAGATAAGCTGTTTGTTCCTCCTGCCCTCCCTTTTTGTTTCTCCCTCTTCCTTCCCCTAGCAACTTTCCTAGTGAAACATAACATATCCACTGACTCTGATACTGAAGAACAAATTATCTTTTGCAGTAACACCTTATCCATTCACTGGAAAAAGATGCATATTGTTTCGTCTGAAAGGCTGATTTAATTGCAAAACCTGACACTGGTCAAACTGAGGGGTTTCATTCATTTATTTATTTGGCCTTCAGCTCTCTTTTGCTCTCATAACCATTAGGACGAGACTGGATGTAGGTTTTATTCCAAGAAATACCCTTTAAAACTGAGCAAAACCACTCTAAATCTTCCAAAGTAGTTGAAAAATGAAATAATTTGACAAATGGTGTTCTTAAATCCAGCTTCCATGACAGGAAATACCTGAGAGCTGGGAGAGGGGTGGATGAGACCTTCAGCCTCCAACTTCTTCAGGAGGTGATGAGTTTGAGCTCCGAGCGGGAGAGGGGCTGGCAGCTTGTGTGGGTGCCCAGTCTGCCTTGCTGGGATGTGCAGGACACTGTGTGAGAAGAGTGGAGGCTGAAGGGGGTGTCTCAAGGGGATGGAGTTTTGTTTAAGATGCAGTAAGCTGTCCAGCTGTGCTCTTCACAGCCCGAGCTCTGCTGCGTCGTACCAGTGTGTGTAAGACTCACAATAATGAATTGTCTTGTGTGTATACAGGACTTTGTATCTGCTTTACTAAGAGGGTACACATAGTGTCAAAAGGCCTAGTAAATTTGAGGCTGCTGTTACAGTTTTAAGCTGTTGAAGGCTTGTTTTGGTTCCTTGGGACATTATAGTCGAGGTTTTTCAGGAGTGAGTGAAGTGGAGGGTTTGGGGTAATTTCGGCCAGGCTTTAGAGACCTCTAAAAGCATCGTCTTCCAAGCAGAGTTCATAACCCCAGGCAGGGTTGCAGTAACTCCAGGTCTTGTGATGAACGTCGTGGATAGTTGGTCCTCACCTGGTATTTTTCCTAGTGCCAAGGTTGCTTCTTTGAGAGTTGGATGGTCATTGCCTTGAAATGGAGCAGTGGGCAGGAGGAGTAGGCTTGGCACTATGTGAAAACCTGATGCGTGCCATGAGGATACAATAGAAATTATGGAGTGCCCAGATTCTTGATCACTTTTACGTGCAAAGTGCCTGTGGCACTGTCCATTCGCAGAAGCCACTGTGTGCTGGGGATGCTGTAGGTTGTGTGATGAGCTCTCAGTGGGCTGTAGTATGTGGGAATCGGGCAAGATTAAACACTGTGGGGAGAAGCATCAGTCAGTTACGTTGCAGTCAGTCAGTTGAGATGGTCATTTCTGCTTTCCTCTTTTCTATCACTAATGGACCAGTTCTGTTTTCGCTCTTTATTCTTAAAGTTGCTTGGGGCAACTTTGAAAACTGTAGTTCAAATGAGTATGTTTTAAGGAAAGTACTGACGGAAGCTGTTAGTATCGTCATGAGGACTGTTGACTTAGAGAGGTTTTTCTCTTTATTCTCCAAAAAAAGGTGCTTTGTTTCCATTAGCGAGTTTTTTTGTTGTTTTCAGATACTACATTTATACTACAGAAAGCTTACTTAACAAAGTTTGTGATCAAAACAAATAGACTAGAATCTGCAGACAGAAGTCTCTGATGCAGCGTGAGTAGAAATGGGGCTGCCAATGGGCGCTTACTAGTTCTTGTCCGTGGAAGCAGAAGGAACCCTGTGATACGCACAGGTATAGGAACGTCATTGAGTCACTAGAGTAAAAAGCCAGGCATGTGTCTCATTTACACGTCTGGGATCGAGTAGAACCATGGTAAGGATATGCCATTTCAGGTTAGAGGGCTGCTCTGCAAAGATTTCTACCAGGGCTAAATATAGACACTGTGTATACAATGTGACTGTAATGTTTTGCAGTTGCTACAGCAGCCTTTGATCAGGACTGTGGCTTACTAGTCAAAAATAAGCTTCCTTTGCATATGCAAATTTTAATTAGTCTAAACAAAACATTTTGTTATATAGCTATATTCACATTTAACTTTTATAAACCCCTGTAGGTTGTTTTCGTATGTAGTCAGGACCTGATCTGTAAAGTTTCACACACACTAAATCTTTCTTGCTGTGCAGAGCATGAACTACCACTAGTTGTCTTGCAAATCAGTGTGTTTGAATGAATGGGGAACCACAGCATCCTCACTGAGTTGGCTGCGGAATGTGAATCTCCGGTTATTGTATTTTGGGAAGCATTTAGGAATTATGTATACATACATGGGTGGTAGACACCACTTTTGCAAGACAATCTTTTGACATGTTTCACTGGAAAGTGTTGGCCACAAGCTGACCTTTCTCAGAGGTCTCAAATTGGATGTTGTAAGCTTGGGAACTGGTTTTAATGTTTTATTAAAAAAAAAAAAAAAAAGTGTGTAGCCTGAAATGTCTTACTATAATTCTCAAATGCTCTATGTATTTATTTTTATGTTGTAGCCTGAAAAAATATATTTATAGCATATAAATAGAAAAAGTGGAAGGAAGAATCTCTGAAATTCCTGCATTATATTAATAACTTGATGTGTTAAGTCTTCCCTTATGTAAACTACTGCTGTGAGATCATGTAACCTTTTTCCATTTGTGGCAACTCATTGATCAGCTGTATTTTCTATGCATAATTCCTCCTGTGCACGTAATAAAGTTTTTAGCATCAACAAGATTAATATACTACTCCCTCCCTTATGTACCTTGTAACTAAGAAGTTAATGTACTAGAGAGAAGGATCATTAGATAGATTAGTTTTTTGTTTTGTGTCAAAGTCTCAGTGATTCTCAACTGAGGACCGTTTTAGTGACGCTGACCCTCAGCCCATAAAGTCAGCCTTTGCTCTCCCTTAGCAAAGTCAGTGCTGAAGATCGTGACTTAGCAGAAAATTCCATCTTTCTTACTTGAGCTGTGCTTTAAGGAGTCTTCTAAAAAGAAAATACTCTTGTTGCTAGAGTGGTAAGCTGGAAGATTTATAGATAGCTTTTTAAGATCTCTCTCGGAAGAGGTATAGCAGCTGGGAAATGTTCCTGCTCAAGCAGTCTGCGGCCACATTGGTCGTGTTGCGGAAGGAGCTGCTGGGTGACACTTGGAGTACCAGGTGGTGTGGGTTGTGCAAGAACAGATGTGGAGTAGTGTGGCTGGCCGCTGGGAGATAACCTTGGATGAAATGGAAATAAATAACAAGTTTATATCAAAACAAGTAGCTTTATAAAGCAGGAGCAATTGACTGTGAAATTGTTGTTAGCTGTTGCGTTATAATACATTATGAGCTGAGGTCTTATTTTATCCTAAGCTTTGTCTTGAAAATATGATTCGGTATCTTGTTTCTACGTTTACGTGTATGGTGGTTTAAAAGCAAAACAACTTTTCAATGGTGTTTGTTTCTTTTCCTCCTGTTCTTTCTCCTTGGTAAACAACAGTGAAAACTTTTATTACCTTTTTTGTTATTCTTGCGGAGATATCCTTCAGATGGTGATATGACAATTGAAGAATATGCTGTGGGATAATCTTAGTTACCAAGTTACTGATGCAAAGCGTGTGGTTTTTACTAAGTTGTAAGGAATTCTGATATTAAAATAATTTAAAAAAAAATCAAAATAGCAAGTGAATTAACTTGTCTGTGGAGGTTGGCTACATCTTAATTTTATGGGTTTTTTCTTTATGCATAGTTTGAAAAAGAAAAGGCAAGCCAAACAAAACACCGAGACTGTCTCTGCCAATTCCCCTGGATCGCCTGTTTCCAAAACACCTTCTGAGAAAGATGCTGAAAGTAAAGTTATTTTGGAGCAAATCAGTTCCTCTGAAGACAACTGTAAATTTGCTGGGGAGAAGGAAACTGCTCCAGAAAAAGAAAAGAAAAAGAAAAAATACAATCAACTGAAAGATATTAGACGCACAGAACTTAAAAGATACTATAGTACTGGTGAGTTACATTAATGCTATATTATTTTGAAATATGCTTGTTTTGATAGCTCATTAATGTACTTTTCTCATATTCTATAGGCCTTCCTTAAAAGGATAATTGACTTTGGATATCCTTCCTGTAAAAACAAACAAAATTATGTAATTCTGCATATCATCTGCTTCTAACTTTAACATTGCAGTTCTTAAAAAAAAAAAAAAGATATTTCTTGTTTCTCAGTTCTAAAACTTAGTGTTGTTATAGGCAACAGTTAATTATTGCATTTTATGTTAATTTTTTTTAAAGATTTGTCTTCAGTGCTTTATGGCATTGCCGTTCAGTTTTCTTTGGTGGGATTGTTTCATAAATTGATGCATACTGTTTAAGATTTCAGTCTTCATATTAATTTTGTCTGTTGAAGTGTGAACAAGTAAGTAAATTAACTACATATTTTTAAACAAGATGTCAAAGGGCTTGTGTGCTGGAAAGCTTGTTCCCCTTCCACCCTGTATCAGTGCAGTTAATCATAAATATCTTTTTTAGATGCATTCTTGCAAGCAATTCAGAGAAAAAAACAGTTTGTGCATAAATATGTGAGATGAGTCATATACACATCTGCCTGCAGTTCTGGATTGTAATTTGTCAGATACTCTTAAGTAATTTTAGATCTGATTTATGAAATACTTCTCTTTCCAAATTTTCTCTTGGAATTTTGTAGGAATGATCTTTTCGATTAAGAGGACTCTGGTTCCATCTTGGAAGGAATCTTTTCTTAAAGAGAAGGCAGGCAACAGAAAATTGTAGATAGCCTAGAAGCAGACTTCTTCTGTGCTCACAGAGTGTGCATGAATGGCTAGCTCCTAAGAAGGAGTCCTCATTAGGAGAAGGAAATGAGTCAGCAGCAAAAATGTTGTGTTGACCAGCGCATGCGGACTAGTCCACACCTGGAGATTTTCTTTTTGAGGCAACACTAGCCTCCTTACCAAAAAGAAGATAAATCTTGCTGTAACGTTTGCTGGCAAGCTCAAGAGTTTACAGTGATTTACTCATCAGTGTGTGATTTTTGGCAGGTTTAAATCTGATGAGATCAATAAGCTGGGAACTGAAAGAAAACTTAGAATAGTTTGGGTTGGAAGGGACTTCTAAAGGTTGTCTAGTCCAACCCCCCTGCAGTGAGCAGGGGGATCTTCAACTAGATCACGTTGCTCAGAGCCCCGTCCAGCCTCACCTGGAATGTTTCCAGGGATGGGACCTCTCCCACCTCTCTGGGCAACCTGTGCCAGTGTTTTACCAAGTTCTGACCACACTGTTCTTGAAATAAAATCTTGGAAGGAAAACTGGAGAACTGTTAATGGAGAAACCTGTGAATTCTTTCTGTTTTGTTAGTATGCTAGTTTGATACAACAAAATACAAACTCCTGTTGCATTCCTAGTAAAGCTCTTCTTCTAAAAGCTGAGATTTATTGTTACTTTGTACAATTTGTTTTGTGTTTTTTTTCTTGTTTTTTTTTTTTTTTAGGTACCTGAATTTTGTTTCTCTAGTGTTTCAGTAGGTTTGTGAAAAACGCTGCAACAGTGGGCACTTGCGGTAGAGAGATGCAGGATGGTGGCATCCCTCTCTCTCTCACTGAAGAGTGCTGCGGTGCTGGTGAAGGAGAATGTAAAGCTCTCCAGGTCGTCTTTGGCTTGTGATCCAACAGTCAATACAAACTTGGGTTTTACTAATGTTCATTACATAAGCATTCCTGTGTTTTGTGTGGACTGGCATCACTGCAGGGGTGACTTGAAATGCTACTGGCTGTCAGGCAGGTGTGCAAAACCTCTGGGTTCTGCAGAAATAGAGAATTTCTGTTGGGAAGTACAAGAACTTAATGCTGCTGTTGAGCTGAGCACAGATCCAACTGACAGAATCCATAGAGAGAGAACCCCCTTTGTTGTTCAAATGCCTTTTTTCGGTTGTTCCTGAATAGACTTTTACCCCGCGTGGACATCAAAATTGTGGAAGTGACAGTTTGAAGAGAGGTGGAAAATCGTTGATGGTGAAACTAGCACAGTAGCTCTAGGTTCCCACTGGAGCTTTCAAAATGAAGTCATTTCAGTGGAATCATTCGTTGCCATAGTACTTGCCTGCATGTGTTACACATGCCTTCATCCACTGCAGCTATAGCTGGCAGTGGTTACCTGCTTAGCCGTTTGTTACTGCTGCTCTTCTGAAAGCTGCCACCTTCGCCAACATCCCGAGCAGTTTGAGAGCTCTTCCCTCCACCCATAGCAGCCTGTACAAACTGGGCTTGCTTGAATTGTTAGCCTTCACCTGCATGCAGCAGAGGACAAAACTATCCGTCTCGCTGAGACAAGTCCGGCCAGAAGGTGTGCATTCAGCAGCTGTGTTAGCTGCAGTGCTGCGAAGGTTCTGCCAAATGTGCAAAGACTTTATTTTTTCATTGTTGATATGCATTCACATGAACCTGGCTGAGGGGGATTATCCATGCATATGCATCTGTCTTTGTTAGTTAATGTTATGGTGCATATGCCTCAATTTTTTTTTTCTCCCATGTGTTTTTTTTTTCCCCTCTGAGTTGTCCTTTTATTGATGTTTCTGAGGTGCTGTGACTAAAATAGTGTCTCTCTTACTTATGGTTAACCATTTTTCTCAGTGTGTTTGCACAAGGGCTTGGGGGTTTTATTTGGTGGTTGTTTTTTTCCAACTACCCAGCCTTGACTTAATGTCTAGAACTTTAAGAAAATCTGATACAGGAAAAATGCTTAGTTTTCCTAGTAAAAAGAAGAATGCGTCAGATGTAGTAACAGTCTTGCAGATTGTCTCATCTGTGTGTTGATATGATGGTGCACACAAACTTTATTTTGTGGCTTGTGGCTTAACGGAGATCCTGTCGTAAGCTGCTTTGAGTCTGGAAGTGTCATGTATGTCAGTCTACAAAACGAAGACCCCTGTCCTCTGAGTAATCTGGCTTTCATATTTCACAGGACCATAATCCTTCTTTATTTATTGTTCTAAGAGAAATGAGGAAGGAACGTCACATCTCACTATAATTTGTTCCTTGCACACCATGTCCCTTCATTAGAAGCTTGTGAATATGCTTGCCTTTATGAATTCATAAATGCTGACAGTGACATCTTTACTCTTTCACTTTGAATGTCATTCCTTTTAATAGATTTATGCAAGGGCTGATACTCTGTCAGAAGGATTTTGTTGACTCAGTAAATTCCTCTTCTCTGGTAGAAAGACTATCACACAGTTTCTGAAGACTGCGGAGAACAGGAGGTGGTGGTGCTCCCTGCCACACTTCGTAGAGCAGAGAGTGGTTGAAAGACTTTCCTTATTCTTTGAAGAAGATGGAAGCGCAGCGATGGAGTGAGGAGCTCCTCACCTGGCATCCACCAAGTGCTGTGTTGCGCTGTGCCTGCAGCCGGTGGGTGGCATCACCGAGCTGAGGAGGAGCGGCTGCGGCTCCTGCACCCTGTAGGAAGGGATCTTCCAACATCCTTCTCCCCAGCCAAGATTGTTCCATAGAGCATACCTGCTAGCACTGTGGTGGCACTGTTACAAATAACCTAATGGTATGAGGTATTCATCATTTCTCTTGAGGCACTGCTAAATGGCTGAACAGATCCCACTGCCAGAAGGTCTCTTGTATGTAACCTGATATTTTCCTTTTCTCTTAGCACTTGTGTTGTTTTTCAGTAGCTCTGTAATTCTGGAATATATTTGTACCATTCAGTCTCCAATCTCAAAGACGAAGGCAGATATAGCCTTTGTTTTCTTGTCTTAAAACAACAGAGGCTCCAATACTGCTTGTTTTCCTTTCTTGAGGACCAGTGGAAATAACACTCCTTTCTCCTTATTTTTGCCTCATCTCTTTAGCTCGTATGGCAATCAGCTTCTTAACTTGCCCTTTCTGCTCTTGTTGCTGCAGTAGTCTTCTTTCAGACTTCTGAGGATATGTCTGGCACAGTGCAGTGGTTGCATAGGTACTCTGGCTGCTATACGCAATGCCCAGGATGCTCTCCCCTTCTTGGGATAACCTAGTTGACCTGCTTCTGCAGCTTGGCTGCTTAGTTCAGACACACTTCCTGTGGGAAGCCTGTTCTTGTTGGAAGATGTTGACTTGCTAAGCTTCAGGGTTTTTTTTTTCTCATTGTTTTGCTTTCCCCACCACCATCTGTCACAGGCTCTAAAACACTTTCACAAACATGAGGTGAGCTGCAGGAGCACACCACTGGAACTGTCACAGCTTGGAAGCACCAGTTTAGCTGTAGGGCATGATGCATATCTCTGGAACAGACTTGTTAGGTGGACTCCTGTGAGAATAGGAATCCAGGATTCCTGTCAGGAATTGCTAAGCTAGATGAAGGCAATCATTTCTGTTTTGCCAAGACACTTAAACAGGAAAAAAGGTGACCTTCTGAGCAGGCAGTGTAAAGTGGTGCAAATCAGAGTTGAGCACAATCCTCTGAATTTTGTCCATATATTTATTCCAGGATGATATAATTCATCTTTCTACCAGATATGCAGAATACTGCTAGATTGCACTGATTTTGCTTGAAATCATAAGTGCTCAGCATATGTGAGGAATTGGTCTCTGTTAAAAAATGCATCATAAAGAAAAGTTTGGTTTAGGTGACTTGTCCTACATCACACAGTTACTTTTATCAGCAAAATAAAATCCAGTTAACTAGCTTACCATTCTGCTCACTAATCATAAAACCATCCTTTCTTATTCACAGTATGGTGTTCAATTTCTGCAGGAAGCAAGTGGGAGGTGAGACTAGCAAAATCTCCCCTTACTGTAGCTCTGATTTCTGTCCAAAACAAGCAGGAGTCCTAAACACTGTGACAAGAGTCCTAAGAGGGAAAAGTGGTATGTGTCCATTTAATGAAACAGTGCATTGTATGTTGAATAGGAGGTGCCAGAGTATCTCCCCAGAGTCCAAAGGCAGAAAAATGATGCCTTTTTGACCTCTCTGCCCTCACTTGGGCAGGTGGCAATATGGGAGCA